ATTTTCTGTCGACGACTCGGAGACCTTCGAAGAGGTCCGACGGCTCAGGGAATTGATATTAGAGATAAAGAGTTCGGACAACAACGACATCCAACCGGTTATCCCAATCTGTGTCGTCGGCAATAAAAGTGATTTCGACGATAAAAGAGTCATAAGAAAGGTATGCCTTTGTATCCACACATTCACTCCTATACCCATTTAAAATCATTATCGCCTTAAAAAAAGAGTTCGCTTTAATTCATAGCATTTATTAATTTTTTTATTATTTCAAAAATATTTTATTTTTTCACTTTGAATTGAGATTTGAGATGAAAGTGAGAATCCATACGACAAACAAAATCAATTGAAAAATCATTCTTCTTTTCATGGAAAAAGTTTGTAACTTTTATTGAGAGCACAAAAGAAAGAAAACATATTTTTACAAATATATATAATAAAAATAGTAAAAATGAAACATTAATTTAGTTGCACTAAAAAACCCACTAAAATATTTGTATTGTACTTCTAATGAATCGCCCACTGAATTCTCATTATATTCTACAATTTTGTATGGGTTGATAAAAATTGATTTTTAATTGTATTTCTTATTATAACCCATTAATAACTGAATTATAATAATTGTCTTACCATTCAATTATTATTATTCTTTCGCATACGTTGTCAGTAAGAACTTTACAATAAAATTATATTTTAATATGCGGTGACGACGACTACCTTACGTCTAACTAAAGCATTTAAAAGCAATTATTTTTAAAAATCTATTAATTTTGAGCAAAATAATGAACAATAGTCTTGAAGGACTAAACGGTAAATGTCGTTACTATAACAATGGGCTCACTTTTCTCATCTTTAATAAGTAATTATAATAATCATTAAAAACTTAAAAACATTAAAAATATTAATAAAATTTGTGAGTTTTATAAAAATAGTTTTATATTGTGTGATATGACGATCATATAAAGGGCTATAATATTAACTGAAAGATATTGTTGTATAAAATATACAAAAACTGTATTATCAGAAACGTTGGCAAACCTTTCACTTGAGGGCAGAAAATAATAGTTGGTATAAAAGTTTGTGATAAAATAGCCTTTCAGTTAATTCCACTTTTAATACCACTCTTTGTGTAAATAAATTGCAATTCAAATTGTTTTCTCTGCTCTGAGAGGGGGAGAGAGAAAGAGTGAGCA